GGGGGGGGGCAGATGATCATAAACATTGCTTTTTTTTGCTTTACAGAAAATATCAGGTTTTCTAAAAATTCTAAACCTGGTGACAATAAATAAAACTTCATGTACTGCCTTTGTGATTCTTTTTTCTTATTAAGCATGTTGTGATGAGGGGGAAGAGAAGGAGAGAGGAACAGGGAGCAGCGGGCACTGGGGGAGTCGTTGTGGGCAGGTTGGCCCGGCCAGGCCCTTGGGAAGGGTGCAGTCAGAGGACAGTGGGGGTCAAGCAGGGAGCAGGTTGCCCCAGGGCTCTGCAGTCTTGGGGGGGGGGGCAGCCAGCCTGTGCAGCTCTGTGGGGATGGGGAGCAGCCACCCTGCCTGTGAAGGGACGCTGCCAGGGTGGGGCAGGACACCAGGCTCAGGGGGCTCCCTGCTTGGCTTCTGTGTCGGCTGGGTACAGTGCAAATGGGAGCTGCAGCTGCAGGCTGTTGCCCTGGGCTCCAGGAACAGCTGCTGCTTGGGGCCAAGCTGGCTGGGAGCCTTCAGCGCAGCAGCTCTGTGCAGTGCCTGCCCTGGCCCTGGCCCCTTGAGGGGAGCTGCGGGTGGGCAAGGCTGGGGCCCGGGCAGGCTGGGGCAGCTGTGGTGCCTGTTCTTAGGGTCCAGGGGGATCCCGTGGTCAGGCCCTTGCACCGGGGATGGCTCTGCCCTGCTTGTACTGTGCCCAGCATGCAGGGAAGCCCTCCGAGCCCCGTGTCCTGCCCCAGCCAGGCAGCATCCCCATGTGTGTGGGGGGGCTGCGGCCCATCCCTGCAGAGCTGTGCAGGCCGGGCCAGGCCCCATCACAGGTGCTGCTGGGCACCCCTGCCTGCCTGCCTGCCCGCTCACCACATCTCGAGCCCTGAGGCAGCCCCCACTTCCTGCCCACCCCTTGCCTTCCTAATGGCCTGACTGGGTTGGCTTGCCCGCGGCGCCGCCTCCCAGACCACCCAGACCCTGCCTTGATTACCTGGCCCCAGCACTCGGCATCCCATTACTGCCCTGCCTGAGTGGGACGGGGTGTCTGCCTGCCTGGGCCCAGGGCTTTGCCACCTGCTGGAAGCCTCCCGGGCAGCCACCCTGTGCAGCGCATGCCCCAGCCCTAGCCCTGTCCACCCGCAGCTTCCTGCAGGGCAGGGGTGAGCAAAATGCAGCCCACGGGGCCCCTAAAAAATTTAGAAATTTAATATTTATCTGTCCCTGGCTGCCTGTCATGCGGCTCTCGATGGCTTGCCAAACTCAGTAAGTAGCCCTTCAAATTGCCCCTGCTCCAGGGGTCTGCCAGGCTGGAGGGCGCAGTCTTGGAGCAAGGGGCAGGGGCGGTAGACCACACAGTAGAACACACAGCCTCTGCCCTGGTGCCTGCCACGGTGCTGGCACTGGGACTTGTGGCTGCACAGAAGAGCCCAGAGGAGCAACTTAAAAAAAAAAATATATTAACAATTTTCTTGCGTGCCTCCTGGCATGCCGGGAAAAATGCCTCTACGTGCCAGTAATGGCACATGTGCGGGGAGTTGCTGACCCCTGGCTTAGGTGATGGGATAACCTCCCCAAAGGAGGTAACTGGGATATTTGATAGGAAGGTGACATGAGACTTCGGTGTGTTGGAGTCTGTAGGGGATTTCTGACTTCCTGTTTTTTCTAACTTAAATCCTCTGGGCTGCTGGGGTCAATTGGGCTCAACATGTTTGGGGGGGCAGGGAAGGAGAGAGAGCCTGGTGGTTTTCTTGAGGTAGACTTTCATGGTTTCTGTTTTGGGTTCTTTCTCTGCTGCAGGGGACAGAGTCCATAAAGATGGAAAATGGACAAAGCACAGCAGCCAAACTGGGACTTCCTCCTCTCACCCCAGAACAGCAGGAAGCTCTTCAGAAGGTGAGTGACCCTAGTGTGCCCTTCTTTTTGGGGCACTTTCTAAATAGTAACATCAGACTTACTGCTGTGGAGCTGTGCCTTCCTGTCAGGAATAGGTCAGGGGTAATGACCGTGTTTGCCTGCACAAGCTCTTACAGTGGTGCTCAAAAATACGATGCTACGAGTTGAATTTTTGTGTCTTCCTTCCTTTGGTTGGGTGCTCCTGGTAGCTGCATGGGAACATATGGGGTGTTTCTGTAAAAAGCTGGCTGAATTTTTAGTAGATAACAGCTTTGGTCTTACTGTTTTGAGTCCAATGATGATGAGATGCTGCTGCTGCCTGAAGTCACTGTCAGGTGTAGTCTGGACTTCACAGACTCCAGAAATGCTCCAGCTGAAGCCTCTACAACATTCACACTAGAACACGCTGCAGAATCTGCTCTTTTTGTGCCCACCAGCAACTCATTTGTCATTTTGTTATAAGAGGACCTCTATTACACTGCAGATACGTTCATCCTTTTGAGCCAAGTTATTTGAATTATAGAACAAAATTCAGTCAAACTGATTTGTGGCTGTTAATCCCACATGTACAGCTGGTCCAGGACCTCTGGCTTTTGTTCCTGGTGGGAACGAGTGATACCTGACTTGCTGTGAGGAGAGCAGAGTTGGGAAAGGAGAGGGAAGAGAACTAAACCGGGAAAGGTGGGAACTATGGTCCAGGTCTCCCAGACACTGGTAAGGCAGGGACAGCACTGTGCTCAATAGGTTTGGTGTGAATGTTCCCATAATGCTGAAGCTGCTTGTATGTCTGTGTTTGGCTCGCAGTGCAAAACGGCCTCATTTCCTCTGGCTGCTCCATAGCTGACAGATGTAAATCCCCTTGTCCGTTTCCAGGTTTCCGAAGCACACGTCTCAAAGCCACGGGTTAGAGCCTGCCGTTTCCCGGCACCTCCCAAACACGTACCGCAATGGAAAGCAGGTGCCTTTGAGTGGGGTTGGCTTAATCTGTCTGTCCTGTCCTTTGGGAGTAGGCACATCATAGGATATGAATGCCCCCTTGATTAAGAGCCTCCATCTCAGCATCATTGGATGTTAAGGCTCTGTGTTGCCCAGAATGATGACAGGCTGGGTAGAATAAAACAGATCAGCCTTGTGGCTGCAGGTCATGGAACTGATGGAGAGAGCTAGAATATGCAGAAGGATCCGTGGCGTCTGCTCACTAAGCTAGTGTAGGCTAGCTCTGACCAGGTATGAGAGGGTTGAGCTCAGTCCAAGGACTATAGATGGGGAATAGGATCCCCCCTTTGTAAAACCTTTGTCCAGATGTTCTGAGTGGAAAGCACTTGAAGGAGGCGAGGCTATCTGTCCTGCCCTCATCCCAGCAGGTAAGGTGCCACGGTGGGTGTTGAGGGGCAGAGGGAGGAAGAGGGAGATGCTGAGTGTGTAGTGCATGTTGCTTTCCTAACCCTGCGCCTGCTGCAGACTGAGTCCGCTCAATCCTCTGCTCAAGCATTGTGCTGTATTTCAGGGCTCACGACTCCAAGATGCTGACCAAGACCTTAGTAAGCTGTGGGCCATTGGCTAACGTACAGCGGCTTAGTGCTTAGGGCCGCAGCACCGGAAAGCACCACTGACAGCCAGCTGTGTGGTTTGGGGAATGGTGTTGTATGGAGTTAAATGTCTCTCCCCTGCCTTGGCTGGAGTCCTGCACCTTGTGACTATGGAGTCTATATTTCCTCCTAGGCCAAGAAGTATGCGATGGAGCAGAGCATCAAGAGCGTACTGGTAAAGCAAACCATCGCCCATCAGCAACAGCAGCTCACCAACCTGCAGGTGAGAGACCCCTCTGAGCCCGTCCCCTTGCTCTTACTCTCCCCACAAGGTGAAGCCCTTTATGCACTTAGAACCAGAGCCCAGCCTTGAGGTCTGCCTGGAGCCAGGTACTTTCACTTCTGTTTCCACAGTGAAATTGAAGTATGTTGTCTTCTGCCCGATCAAAGAAACCTCACCTTCTAATTGGAAGCTAGGCCCCCACTTTGCCCTACCCCAAAAATAGGCAGGTGGCCCAGGGGAGGGAGATGGAGGTGGATGCTGTCTCTCCTGTTGGCAGGCTAGACAGTCTTTTCAGTTGCCAGAAAATCAAACAATCTGCTATGAGTTCCACAGTCAATCTGCATCAAAGGTGGTGTCTGAGGTTACTGGGAACAGTATCCCCTCACCATCCTTTCCCTGCCAGAGGGTGCCTCTGTCTCGTATTCCTGGCAGTGTCACCCCGTAGATTCCTGCCATGAACTCTGGGGAATTTGCTCAAAATTCCATGTGGTTAGACCTGCGAATGTCTGTGTCTCAGGAGACGCCCCTCAACTGTTGTCTAAACCTCCCTTCCTTCTGAGGTTTAACCACATCTCGCTGCCTCCTGCTCAAGGATAAGAAGCCCAGCATAATGATTGGGGGTGTTGGGTATATTTAAACACTGTGGGAGTGAGATGTACCAGCCACATTAGGCAGCTCTGGCCTTTCTGGGCTTTGTGTGTTTCTGGGCAGCTGTTCCAGTTGAGGGGCTCCCAGTAATTGCTGGGGGTGAATCAATGACAGTGGTTACAGAGGTTACTATTGCCTTGAGCCCCCCCCGGGAGAAGACCCTGCTACCTGAGGCAGTGGCAGCAGCACACCTCCACCCAGAGTTGGGACTGGAATCTGCAGGGTCCCAGCGCTGGACAGTCCTTGGGACCAGGCAGTGAGGGGCAAGGAAGGAGAGGCCTCTCTCACAGGTTCCCTGTGCCGTCGCTCTCTGCTTGAGTTTTTACAAACAGCCATAGTATGCTCAGCTCCAACAGACTGAACTCTGTCTTTACTGTCTTTCAGATGGCAGCAGTGACAATGGGCTTTGGAGATCCTCTCTCACCTTTACAATCGGTCAATAGACATATTCACTTCTTCTTGGGCACTTTGTCTTAGTCAGGGCCTAGAGTGGGGAAGTATTTAGTGGTAATACAATGCTCTTACCTCAGCCCAGCACAGCCCTCCCACATACCCACCTGTTATGGACAAGCACAGCAAACAGAGACAAAGTGTAAACTCCCCAAAGGAAGACCCTGGGCTGGGTGCAGTCTGCTGTGACGCTGGCAGCCGGGGCTCCGGAGTCAGTTGGCAAAGAGCCTTAGATTTCGAGCATTTCTGAACACCTGTGAAATTGTGGGAGCTGCATTTCTAGGGATGCTACAGTTCTGAGGTCCTGACCCAAAAGTAACTGCCAAGGTAACTTGCAAATGGGCAATTTGTTAAAAACAGCACACACCACCAGAGACCTGGCAGCTAAGGTGCTGGGGAGGATGGGGGCACTACAGGCTTGCCAAGCAAGTTTTTAGACCAGATATGAGACTTCTGTCATGAGGTGCGCTTTTCTATGTTGGGGTGGGGTATGTATGTCTTCAAGTAAAGGACTTGCAGGGTGAAGAGGGAAGAACAGCAGAATTACCCAGACAAGCAGTGCAGGTCCCTGGTGCTGGGAGTTTCTAATCTGCCATCACAAAGAGTTTAAAACATGGAGTTATCCTTCCCCTCCCACCTGAGACGCATGGGATACTGGCCATTGTGTACTGTGCACTCCTCATGCAAAGGGTCACCTGTAAATGTTTTCCTGTCTGGCTGGAATGCAATATTTCTGGTTGGTGTAAAATGCAACCTGGAAGCCAGTGCTCCAAAGTGAAAGAAGCATTAAAACTAAAACCACCTGGCTTCCCTCCCTCCTTTAACACTGCCACGGTAGGTAGCATGCCAGCTGGACAGCCAAAGATAAGTTTTTTGTTTTGTTTTTTTTAATGGGGAAAAGCAAGCTTGAGTGGAATAGGATGAAACATATCTGCCTGAAATCAGTACAGCCAGTTCCTGAGCTCTGGTGCCCAAGAACCTTCTAGCAATTAACTTAGACACTTATTTGATGGCATCAACTCCCACATCACATCCTCTACTTGGTTGTATTTTGCAGCCTGTGTCATGCACAGATGAATAGCATAGATGAAAAGCATGCACTGACAGTAGGAAATGTTTTGTTAATAGGGCTCTGGAGGTTAATCATGGGCTTAGTATTGCAAAAACTTTCCTAAAAAATGTCTCCCTCCTACAAAGAGCCAGTTACTATTGTGGGAGGAACAGAGAGCCTAAGAATCAAGTCCTTGCTGTGAATTAGCCATTGCAGAGTGTTACAAGCTCTGTATAGCTCAGATTCCTTCTTCCTGCAGTTTTGTGTTGAGTCTTGTCAGGAGTGTGAACAGCAAGTACATCTTCCATATAAGACCCCATCTTCTCTGCTCAAAAGAGCTCCTAGCTCCTACTTGAGGGAAATGTGCCCTGAGCCCTGCTCCAAGCTCCATGTCCATGGAGCTCCGTAAATGGAATGTTATGCTGGAGGGTTCCTCTTATTGCTTTGTACCAAGATGGGCACGCTTTCTCTGCTCCGTTGTATTTAAATTGCAGAGGATAGCCATGATGTTTCATTTGCACCTTCATTTTGAGCAGCCTTAATAACCCTCTTCAGTATTTAATTAACAACACCAGACAGACAGACTGCCCACCCTGGGGGAAGGGAAGATACCTTAATCCCACCTTACAGCTGGGGAAGCAGAACAGCCAAAGGACTGGCCCAGGGTTGCAAAGAGCAGTCAGTGGATCAGCCAGGTTTTGTATTGAGGAGTCCCTGGCCCCTAATCCTATGCTCTGTTCCTGCTGCCTTTAGTTTAACTCAGTGCTGCTGGTCCCTTCTAATAAAATGCATGTGCCTGTTGCGGCCATGGTCCAGCTCATCTTTAGCTTTGTGCCCCAGATCTGTAACATGGGAGTTCAGTTCTTTTGTTTCTGCTCCCGCTGCTAGCCTGCAGAATGGTGAGAATGTAGATTTCCCACTGAGGTTGGCTGCCATGGGAGGACTAATGTTATCAACCTTGTCTCTATCGCACGAGTAATTACAGGAGAAGGGAATGCCTTCTTTCATGCACATGCCTTTCAATCCCTCTGCCTGGGGCAAGGGCCTCAGTATATAGGCTGCACTGTCTCAGCAGAGATAACTTGGTTAGGGAAAATGGGGTACAGACAAAGTACTGCAAAGGCAGTGGCTCCATGGGTGAGCTAGATAGCTGGAGGCATGGGGGAGCAGGTGGGCTTTACCGAAAGAATGGTGTTAAACTTCCATATGGAAGGAGTGAGGGTCTAGGTGGTTCTGGTTTTTAAGCACCAAGGCTCAGAGAGGTGGAGGGTTGCTGGGGAGACATCACACTAGAGAAATCTACTTAGCTGGCCTACAGCACACATGTGCCATAGTTCTACCTGGCTCATGGCATGCTGCAGGTACTGTAAAACTATTGATTTAAAACTATAAAATACACAATCCCTATTTAGAGGTGAAACAGACCTGTTTCCTTTAATCACTCCAGGTTCAGTATTAGTCTGGTATCTGGAAGTCAGCAGTGTGGGTGTAAGAACCTGGGTTGAGGACAGTGGCTCTGTCCCCTGGAGTGCTAGGAATCAAGCTTGGGTTGCTTTTACAGTTGCAGACTGCTTCATCCCTAGTCACAGTGACAGGCTGACATGCATTTTAGCATTATGCCTGTTGCAGGGTGGGTTCTTGATCTGCTGCAGACCTACTGTCTCTTGTGACCCTGTTGCATGAGAGACCCTCTGGCAGCTCCCTCTGCTACCATTTGAGTTGTGGCATCCCTAGAGAGGACACAGAAGTCTGAGCTCATTGCGCTCACGCTTACCATGGAGTACTCCACTCAAGCCAGGCATGGAACAGAAACCCTTCTTCCTGAGAGGGGCCTGACTTCTGAGCTCCCCACTTTGGTGCAGGCCTCTGCAGAACTGTGAGGGAGGGAGGCATTGAGCTTAATGCTGCTTTTGTCCTTTGTAGCAGTTCTTACCCCTGCATTTGTTCCAGCTGTTCCATGCAGAGTAAGGATGAAGCCCTGTTCAAGTCTCCAGTGCCATCATACACTATTGCTGATCATAGGGAGCTGCCTCTGCAGAGATTTCCTTTCTGCCTTGGTCCCGATGCACACTGCTCAACCACGCTGGCCAAATCTGTGATCTTAGCAGACAGGACCTTCCTAGGGGGACGCTTCATCTGTAACAGCGGCCTTAAACAGCAGCGTGGGTGGGAATGAACTGGAGGAAGCTGCCTTTAGAGACGCCCACATAGGAACTTCTGGGTTCTTGCAAACAGATTTTCAGGCAGATTCAGAAAAACTAGCACAGAGGCTTTCTCTGCACCAAGACAGACAAGGACTGAGTCTGTGGGGGCTGCACCCTTGTGTGTGCCAGTAACAATGGGAAACTCCAACTACCAGCACCACACACTTAACTAGGACAACGGTTTTGTTTAATCACTGGATTTTGCTTCGCTTTTTTTGAACTATGCAGTAGATGTGGTGCTTGCTATTGGAATTTTCCCTCCCTGCCTGGGGAAAGGGGACAGGAGGTGGCGGTGTCTGGAGCTGCCCAGGGTGGGAGGGAGTGGTGCCCAGACCCTTGCTGCCCAGGGGGAGGGAAGCGAGAGCAGGTGGTGCCCAGGACTGGATCTCTTGCTGCCCCTGGGGAGGGGAGGGATTGCGGATAGCACCTAGTGTTCAATCCCTTGCTGCCTGGAGTGGGAGGCTGTTTTAGAATCAAGGCATTTCCTCCTCCTGCAGGCGTTGCCAGGATGTAATCTCGTCAGGGTGGGTTGGACCCTATGAGCCATGGGTTGAGTTAGGCCTGCTGAGGTGGCAGACCCTATCAGAGATTTGACTGTGCCCCTGGGAGTGAGCCTTACTGCTGCTCCACTCCCCAGCAGTCTGAGCACTGAGCAGGAAATCGTTTCTCAATCACTACATGTGTGCCAGGCTGTGCTGCAGCCAGTGGGGAGCTGCCTGCTGTTGTGTCACAGCTCCTGGGGAGGGTGGGACAGGGGAAAGAGCTGTCCTGACATCCAGGGCCACCCTTTGACCTAACCAGCCAGTCCTTCTTTCCAATACAGATGGCAGCTCAGAGGCAGCGAGCCCTGGCCATCATGTGTCGTGTGTATGTGGGCTCCATATACTACGAACTGGGAGAGGACACCATTCGCCAGGCCTTTGCGCCGTTTGGACCTATCAAGAGCATTGACATGTCCTGGGACTCTGTTACAATGAAACACAAGGTTGGTGGGAGAGTCCCTGGTGCTGGTCTTGCTTTCTTTGTCCACGCTTGTTGTGTTTACCTCGAGAAGAGGGGAGCCTTTGTTTCTGCAGTGAAGAACAAGCTGCTTTAGCAAGATCTCTTTGTGGGACTGAATCGATCAGCCGCTGCTCTATCCAGGCTTGTAATCTTGCTATAAGTTGCAGCAGTGACCCAGATGGTGCTGTACAGTTTGTTACCGGGATGCCAGGGGTCTCTTCAGAGCTTTTTAGTGTTTACCCTCTCCTTTGCTTTAGTGTGCTCTTGGGAAGGCCCTGAGAATGGACTTCCTGGCTACAGTAGTTGGTATCAGGGCTGCGTGACCAGCTGCAGTGGGTACAATTTGATAATATTTTCCCTTTTTCTTAGGGCTTTGCTTTTGTGGAATACGAGGTGCCTGAAGCTGCGCAGCTGGCCTTGGAACAGATGAATTCTGTCATGCTTGGGGGAAGAAACATAAAGGTGAGTGACGAGAGCTTACATTACAAGAGGAGCGAGTCTTGTCATTCGCTAATGCTTGTTTTAATGGGATGGGACTTTTCCAGTGCCCAAAGGAGCCAGGCCTCTAACTTCTGAAACCTTTGAATTTTCTGCTGTGAGCATAGATGTCTTCAGCAGTCCACCTAGTTCCTCCACTGGAATTCTGTGGTTCTTGTTTCCTGCCTCTGGGGAAGGCACCCATAGAGTGTCGATTATAATCTAGGGCAGTGGTATCAGCCTCTGCTCTCCTACCATTCATTGAATAGAAGCCCTTTGTGAGCAAGGTGGAGAGCCTTGCAGCACTTCATCCTGCCTGTTGGCAGTAGTGTAGACCTGAGGGGAAGGAAGGGAAGAATCTGCTGACCGAGGTTGTGTGTAGAACATGTCTGTATGTGAGCAGTGAGGGGCACAGAAGCTACGTTAACTTGTCCCATGCTAGAAGAAAGGGGAATATTTAATACAATCCAAAAAGAACAAGGGAACTGAACTCTGCATTCACAGTCAGTGAGTAAGTGATTTCAGATAGAGATGGAAGGTGTTGGAGTTCTGTTTGCAGTGTCTCTGGCAAGCCAGCAGCCATCTCTGATAGTTCAGTGCCAGCTTCGGTAGGGGTTTTGGAGGGCTCCAGAGAATGGTATGGAGGCTCTGTGTTGCAGCATTGTTCTGACCTAATAGATAGTGAATTGTGCCTCTTGCTAGCTGCAGTGTTGTGAAAGAGGTTCCGTGATTTGAACAGAGGCTCAGGTTCTCATGTATCAGTACTCCCCTTGATGTCCAGGAAGATTCCTGATGCTGCCCTGCCAAGGATTCACAGGGCTTTTTGTTTATTTTCTGCAGGTTGGAAGACCTAGCAATATTGGGCAGGCACAACCAATCATAGACCAGCTAGCAGAGGAGGCACGAGCTTTCAACCGTATCTACGTGGCATCTGTTCACCAGGACCTTTCGGATGACGACATCAAGAGTGTGTTTGAGGCCTTTGGGAAGATTAAATCCTGCACGCTAGCCAGGGATCCCACAACAGGGAAGCACAAAGGCTACGGCTTCATTGGTAAATTGGCTGTTCTCATGAATGGGATGGGGTTGGGTGTGCTGTTGGAATTTGAGTGGTGTGCACTCGATTGTCAGAACTGCTTTAGGTATGGGATAGAGAGGGATTTAGGTATGGGATCAGGGTCACCCTGATCATGCAGGTGGCCCTCCTCTGGACCCTCTCCATGTTGTCCACATCCCTCCTGAAGTGCGGCACCCAGAACTGGACGCAGTACTCCATCTGCGGCCTGACCAGTGCCGCATAAAGGGGGAGGATCACCTCCTTGGACCTGCTCGAGATGCATCTGTGGATGCATGACAAGGTGCGGTTGGCCTTCCTGACTGCATCCCCACACCGCTGGCCCATGTTCATCTTGGCATCAATGATGATTCCAAGATCCTTTTCTGGCTCTGCCCTGACGAGAAGGGAGTTCCCCAGCCTGTAGGTATGCTGCTGGTTTTTCCTCCCCAGGTGCAGTACCTTGCACTTGTCAGTGTTGAAACCCATCCTGTTCTCATCCGCCCAGCCCTGTAACCCGTCTAGGTCCAATTGCAGTCTATTCCTCCCTTCTAGCATGCCCACTTCTCCCCACATCATAGTGTCATCCGTGAATTTGAACAAGGTGCTTTTCACCCCCTCATCCAAGTTGCTGATGAAGATGTTGAACGGTGCAGGCCTGAGGACTGACCCCTGGGGGACCCCACTGCCTACATCCCTCCAGGTCGAAAATGACCCGTCCACCACCACTATCTGGGTGCAGCCCTCCAGCCAGTTAGTGACCCATTTGACTGTGTAGGCATCAACACCACAGTCCTCTAGTTTTTTAATGAATATGGAGTGAGAGACCATGTCGAAGGCCTTCCTAAAGTCCAGAAATGCTACATCCACTGCTACACCTGCGTCTAAGGATTTGGTAACCTGGTCGTAGAAGGCCACCAGGTTGGTCTCAGGACCTGCCTCTAATGAACCCGTGTTGGTTGCCCCTAAGCATAATCTCCCCTGTTGGCCCCTCGTGGGCTTGGCAGAGGGGCGCAGTGAGTTTAAAATGCTGTTTTCTTGGGGGTGGGGGTTGTCTGTAAGCGACATTCATTCCCTTTTAAGTGGGATAGCTGTAGTGACCTTGTGTAATCAGAGGATTGGGCATGATGGTTGAGACACTGAAGGCCAGAGCTCTAAACCTCCCGTTCGCAATGTGTAAGCCCAAATTGTCTAGGGAGGGATTGGCTGAATTCATGAGGGTGGCAGTAGCCAGCCAGCAGAAAGAGCCTTCTGCCAGTGTCCTGATCTCTCATTGCAGAGTATGAGAAGGCACAGTCTTCCCAGGATGCGGTCTCATCCATGAACCTCTTTGATCTGGGCGGCCAGTATCTACGGGTTGGCAAAGCAGTCACTCCTCCAATGCCTCTCCTGACCCCTGCTACACCAGGAGGATTACCGCCAGCAGCAGCTGTGGCGGCGGCAGCTGCCACAGCCAAGATCACAGCTCAGGTAAGGGGAAGAGCAGCAGGGTGCAATGCAATGGGCAGGTGTGTGTACTAACAAGAGTTCAGCTGTCCTGCTAGCCATGGGGTGCAGGCTGTCTGAGCTTAGTGGGCAGCACTTGCCCTGCCACTTGAAGGGAGGCTAATGGTTAACTCCTGTGCTGCAGATCAGTTCTTGGGGTCTTAGATGCAGAAACTGGCTGGGTCTATTCACCTCTGTACCTGACAAACTAGCACACTGTTATTGAGGCTGGCATAGCAAATACAACATGCTGTAAATAAACTAAGAAGATTGTTGAAGGTTGGGAGGATAGATGTGGTCTTCACACCTGACTGAAGTACACAGGAAGAGGAAAATCCACTGTGCAAGGATAATAGCAAAGGCTAAAGAAACAGCAGATAGTAGAAGGATGGGTAGCAAAGTGAATAAAAGCACAATTATCCATTGGATAAGTGGTCTGATAGGCAATACAGTTGGTGAAAAAACTGTACCTAAGCTGGGGGGGGGCGGTGATGTTAGAGAGAATTGAGTGTGTTTGTGTTGCTTGTCAGTTCTGAAGCTGCTGTGACTGTTGTGGGGGGACCTTAAATGCTGTGACAATCCTCCTCCACTTTGCGTGAGGTTAGTTGAATTGCTTTGCATTACTGGTGATTCTCCAGGGAAAGTGACCTGGTGGTGCCCATCTCCTCTCCAGATATGGACAGCTGTTGGCTCCCAGGAAGCTCATCCACCCTTTGATGGGTCTTGTTTTTAGTCCTGCTGAGTGTCCACACACTCTCCTCTCCCAGGCTAGCTCAGGTGGGGTGTGCCGGTTTAGTCACTGACAGCCCAACCATGGAGCAGGCTGTACTGGCTTACATGGTACCAGATAGCAGATCAAGAGAGGCCTGGCCTGACAATAGAGGTGTTTGTACACTAATGCAAAGATCCTGGACAACAAAATGGAGGAAATAGAACTGCTGGTGCAGGAAGTGAAGATGGATATATTACACCATGTTTCTTTTATTCTTATAAGAGCAGTCTTGACTGGAACAAGTGTTGTGGGGTATATGCTGTTCAGGAAGGATAGAAATGAAGACGGTGTTAGGATCATAAGAAAGTAGTGTTGGAAGGGACCTCGCAAAGTCATCTAGTCCACCCCTTGCTCAAGGCAGCAGCATTCCAGATTAATCTATCCCAACCAAAGGTCGGTCCCTCATGCTCTTAAAAAGTTCTAGGGATGGACATTTTACAACTTCTCTGGATCACCTGTTCCAATGCTTGATCACCCTTATAGTCAAAAAATTCCTCCTCATCTACAACCCAAATTTCTTCTGTTGCGGCTTGAGTCCATTGCTTCTAGTCCTGTTGCCTGTGGTCATAGAGAAAAGCTTATTTCCACCCTGTCTGTAATCACCCTTCACATATTTGAAGACTCATTAAATCCCTTCCTCAGGCTTTTCTTCCCCAGACTGCTAATCCTGGCTCTTTTAGCCTTTCCTCAAAAGCTTGCTTCCCAGACCTCTAATAATTTGTGTTGCTCTCTGCTGGACCCTTTCCAATTTGTTCACATCCCTCTTGAAACATGGGGCCCAAAAGTGGACACAGTACTCAAGTGAGGCCTCATGGGTGCTGACCAGAGCAGAAGAATTGCTTCCCTTGATTCATAGGTTACTCTCCTGTTAATACAACCCTCAAAGCTGTTGACTTTTTTTTTTGCAAGAAGAACACACTGTTGGCTCATTCAGCTTATAGCCCACAGTATCCCCAGGTCCCGCTGCAGTACTGCAACCCCACCAGTCATTCTCCAGTCTGTATTTCTGCATGCAGTTTGTCCCC